CTTTGCTGGCGAAGCTTCTCAGCTTCGCGGCGCGCCAATTCTTCCTCTTGCTCCGCGGTGAGTTTCTTCGATGAGTCGTGTCGATGAGAGTAGATGGCCAAAAACCTCTCGTAGGTGTAGGGTCGCAGCTCGCCATGGGCATCAAAGGTGCCGACGCCGGTTCCGAGCAGCATGCCTTGAAGGTGCTGTGAGGGGGGACCGATGGGGGGATGCTCTGGCGTGCCGAAGATGCCATGGGTGGTAACTTCAAGCTCGAGCTGCGTCATCCCTTCCTCTGGGGGCGCGTGGCGCTCTGCTTCAGCGATGGCGGCGAGTCCGCGGCCAGCAATCGCGCTTGTTGTGACAATCCCTGCATATGCCATATGGGTCGGGGTTGTGTAACGCCGTTTCACGTGGGTGGGGATGATGCGGCACCCACGATCTGCCGTCAGGGTCCTTCCAATCCCTGCGGTGGATGTGCTCGAAGCGCAGTGGCACGAGATCAATCAACTCGTGCGAGTCGCCGCTGCAGTCAGGAATGTCAAAATCTAGGACATACACTCCATTTTCGGATTGCGCACGTCCGATCTGCCTGCGGGGAAATGTGCTCGATTCGTAGTGCAGCAGGATGTTGTGAAAATAGTAGGCAGAAGTAGGCGCCATAGCTAGGAGAGTCCTAGCTAGGCAAGAGACAGTTTAGGCAAAAAAGAGGGTTGCACTAGCAAGAATGAGGATACAAATAGCAAACCCTAGAAGGGTTGTACTCGCTATAGAGCACCCCACTACAGGCTAGAGCATAACATTCTGACACACCCCCATAGCCAAAGTGGGGTGTAATCAGCAGAGCAAGCAAAGCAGAACAAGCTCAGGGTGGATCACAATGTCACCACACATTCTGAGCACAAGTTCAAGAAGCAATAGTTTAAAGTTCACAATTATGAGCAAAGCTAGTGGTAGTCACAACGGGCAAGTGAGGAGGAGGAGGGACAGTGAGAGGAGAGGAGATAGGAGGCGACGGCTGAAGCTGCAGACACACGGGCAACAGGAGGCACATTGGCACAGCGGCTACCGGAACAACGCTCCGGACTACTGGAGTAACTGGCCCCGCGGCTAAAAGTAGCGGCAGACGAGCAACGGACCCACGGGCGACTGGCAGAGGTGGCTACGACTGGGCTACCGGAGCAACTCCCCGGACTACAGGTGCTGCTGGCGACACGACGGCAACCTCCGTTCAACCTCCCCCAAACAGTACCACCCCCCCTGACACACACCCCCTGCTTCACCCCTAGCTCCACTCCCCCTTCGCCCCCCCTTAGTACCACTCCGACAGCTCCAACAGGTCCACCCCCCCTCAGCGGCAGCTGCAGCATAGGGAGATGGAGGAGGAGGAGGAGCAGGGAACGGCACACATAAGTTGCACCCCCATACCCCCCACCCCCAAACCCTAATCCAAGAGAACGGGCAGAAGGAGGGGTGGGGCGCCTTCAGAAGCACGGGGGACAGCGGGGAGGACAGGGGCAGCGAAGAACGGGCCGCCCACGGGCCTGGCACAGCCTCCCGAACCGCGCGCAGGCAGCCCGAGCCGCGCGCGGGCCTGGCGCAGCCCGTACGGGCCGAGCGCCGGCTGTACGGGCCGCGCGCAGGCCACGACGGGCGACGGGGGGCGACGCGCGGGTCCCCGTCGCCCGTCGCAGCGCCTCGGGGCGCACGGCGAGCAGAGAACCGCCGCGCGCCTCGGGGCGCACGGCGAGCAGAAAACCGCCACACGCTCCGAGCGCGCGGCGGGATGAAAACCCTAATCTCGACGCCGCGCACCACGGGGCGCGCGGCGGACAGGGAGTAGCAGTAGCAGCGGAAGCAGTGAAGTGGGGCCCACAGGCCAGGAGCATATAGCTCTGATTCCATGTAAAAATAGTAGGCAGAAGTAGGCGCCATAGCTAGGAGAGTCCTAGCTAGGCAAGAGACAGTTTAGGCAAAAAAGAGGGTTGCACTAGCAAGAATGAGGATACAAATAGCAAACCCTAGAAGGGTTGTACTCGCTATAGAGCAACCCACTACAGGCTAGAGCATAACATTCTGACAGATGTCTCGTGTCTCGCGATCCGTGCTGAGGTCGACGCCGCAGTCCATGAGCTGTGCGGCGGACAGGAGGTTGAAGCGCAGGTTCTGGACGATTAGCACATCGTTAAGCGTGATGTGCGTGCGGCTTCCACGTGCTTTGAGCACGACGATGCCTTGTGCGCTTGTGCGCAGGCGCGTGTTGTTCCCCACAGTGACGTAAGTTACTGTAGGGGTGGGGACGGCGTTGGATATGTAACGCTCGGAGCCCACCATATGCTGGCCGCAGCAGCTGTCCAAGTACCAGGTGTTGTAGCGCTTGTTGTCGTCACGTGCGAGAAGCGCCAATCGCGGTGTGACGATGTGCGGAGTGTCGAACTTCAGAAATTGCTCTCGCGAGAGCCAATCAGGTGGCGCCACCTTCATGTCTGGTATGTGCGGGGGACTTTCAAGCAGCGCGACTGGGAGGTTCCTGTCCTGGTCGTCGTCGTCGTCGTTGTAGTCGCGGCGCGGGCTGAACGGGTTGTTTTTGGTGAACGCGCCGATGGGGTGCGGTGCTGGCTCAGGTGAGGGTGAGCGAGCACAGCGACGACGTGACTCGCCTGTCATGGCCATGTTGCTCATGACGTTGCGCGTAGGGGCAGTTGATGGCTGCTGCTGCTGATGCTGAATGGTTGAGTTCAGATTGCGCGCGGGTGGGGGTTGATACCCTTGGGCTGGACGCACGTCGCCTCGTGCGTCTTGTCGGCCGGACCAGTTGCTCGGATTGGTCTGGCGAGGGCGAGATCGGAACTTACATCGATCCGCCAAATGCCTGAAGTTTCTGCAGATTTTGCAGTAGAGGCGCCGCAGTCGTCGCTCTTCGTTGTTGTCGGCGTAGAAGGCGAGCCGTTCGCGTTCTCGTCGTGGCGCTGGTCGCTGCTGATCCATATCCCGTTGTTCGACGAGGAGGGCGGCGCAAAGGGCGGCCTCCGAGATGACCCCCAACTGACGGAGGAGCGCCTTGCAGGGCCGCCACTCTGGGCCAAGCCCTTGAAGCACAATGTTCACGAAGATTTCCTCGGAAATCGAGCTTCCCAACTTCACGATTTGATCGCGAAGGCTCCGACAGCGGTTGATGTAGCTGTTGACCTTCTCCCCTGAGGTAATCTTAGTTTCCAGCAGTTGCTGGAGTAGTCGGCTCGAAGAGACGGAGTCCTTGGGCTGATACACGCCGTTTAGGTGGCGCCAAGCGTCGAGGGCTGGGGCAGTAGATGTCTTGTATGAACGGATGTTCAGCTGCTCTGCCGGCGACATGTTACGCAGAAGGATCCCGTACGCCATCAAGGACTCGTTATAATAGCGAGTCCTTGCGTCGTCGGTGTCCTCAGCAGGTCCCGAGTAGCTCCCATCGAAATAATGATAAATCTGCGCGTTTTGCAGCAGCAGCTCCAGCTCGAAGCTCCAGGTGTAAAAGTCTCTGCCGTCAAAGCACACACTTGTCTTTATTTTTCATATGCTCAAAAACCTTGATTGCGCGGAGAGAATTGCTTCATCGCTGGGACAGGGAGTCTTGGGGGTTGAGCCGTTCGTATCTAGGAAGAAGCCTTGCGGGGCGGAGTTTTGGCCGTTTGGGGCCGGTTGAGTGGGTTGGGAAGAAGTTCCCGCATCGCCATTCCGCAATGTCTGGAGCCCTTGCTCCAGGCTCGTGAGTCGCTGAAGCAGTTGTGCGAGGACGGCGGAGGGAATCGTCGTCGTTTCCTCGTTTGTCGCAGCCGGGTTGGGCTGCGCTTCAGCCGTCAGATTTGTCTGACCTCCAGATCCTCCGGCCATTCTTACACGTGATCGTGTGCCGGACGCCACTTTCCGAATGTCGCAGACTTCGGAGATGGCCGTGCGAAGGATTCCTGAGTCGCTCTCATACCATGCTAGAATCAGAAGTTGATCGTGGCCTAGGATCTACTCAAGAAGGTTCGCACGTAGAGAAGTGGTGTTGGTGGGCCCTTGACCTCAATAGCAGAGTGAATAAAAATGCTTGAGATGATTAAGACATGCGAATACAACGATATAAATAAGAGTACAGGGGAATATGAATCGACCTAGCTAGCCATGTACTCTAAGGGGTGCATTTGTGAAGAATGAGGAATGAAGAAGAGAGGGGTTGCACAAGCAGCAGTTGGCATACATATAGGAAACCCTAATTGGGTTGTACTCGCTATAGAGTACCCCACTGCAGGCTAGACAATTATAACATTCTGACAACATTCCCTTATTCAAATACATTCCCAACTGTGCGGCGCGAATAGTTACGAAAGAGTTCCCGCCGAAACCATCCTGCCTGCAGCTGCCTGATGCTGTCTACTCCGACGGTTCAGATGCGTTCCAACCGTCTGACGCTTCGCGTTCATTCGCGATACTGCGTGCTTCTCTTTGCTGCGGTGAGGAGTGCACAGTAATGTTCAAGTATTACTATTCATAACAATAAGGGGGTACATTTCCCTTAGGGCTAATCTAGATGCAAGATTGCAACCGTGCGATTCGGTAACCGTACGCGGTCCGGTAACCGTTTGAAGTTTTCCCGCGCTTTGCACTTCGAGTTCTTCCTGCTTGTAAGTGTCTTGATAACTGGTTCGCCGCTTGGTATTTCGTCCTTGCTGCAGTTATCTTCGCGTTAAAGCCCAAGACCTGAATTACTCAACGGAAGTCAACGCTAAAAACTAGGTTCGGGAGGCAGGCACGGAGAGGTTCGGTTGGGTTGCGAGAGAATTTCACTCGCGAAACCAATTTGCGACAAAAGTTTCTCGCTTCCCATGATGGGTGGGGTCCTTCCCACAACCAGAAAAGCACGTGCATACCAAACTGTGCACAGTTTGAGATAGCACGCAGAGAAATAGGCATAGACCATACCTGTAGACAGGGCAGGGCGTCGGCGTTCACTCAAAAGGGATCACATGCGCCTTACGATGTGGGTGGCGCGGATTTTGATGATGACGCGCAAAGCTAGTGCTCGCTGGGTGAAGATTTTTGTGTCGAAATGCATTTTATTGTACAACTACTACGTAGCGTAAACTCGCGGCGAAAATCGAATCGCACCCGTTCGCCCAAGCGTGACCCTCCCCTCGCCCTCACTTTCATTTCCCTAGGTCCCACGCTTCCGCTCTCTGTCGCCCGCGTCGTCGCCATCGCTTCCGCAGCTCGTCGCGTTCGCGACCCCTGCCCGTCTCCTTCGCTCCGCCCGTCGCCTTCACTCCCCCCCCGTCACCTTCACTTCCCCCCCTCTTCCCCCCCCTTCCGTCGCCTTCACTTCCCCCTCTCGTCGCCTTCACTTCCCCCTCCCGTCGCCTTCACTTCCCCCTCCCCTCGCCTTCACTTCCCCCTCCCGTCGCCTTCATTTCCCCCTCCCCGTCGCCTTCACTTCCCCTCCCGTCTCCTTCATTTCCCCCTCCCGTCGCCTTCACTTCCCCTTCCCGTCGCCTTCACTTCCCCCTCCCGTCGCCTTCACTTCCCCTTCCCGTCGCCTTCACTTCCCCCTCTCGTCGCCTTCACTTCCCCCTCCCGTCGCCTTCACTTCCCCCTCCCGTCGCCTTCACTTCCCCCTCCCGTCGCCTTCACTTCCCCCTCCCCGTCGCCTTCACTTCCCCTCCCGTCTCCTTCATTTCCCCCTCCCGTCGCCTTCACTTCCCCCTCCCGTCTCCTTCATTTCCCCCTCCCCGTCACCTTCACTTCCCCTCCCGTCTCCTTCATTTCCCCCTCCCGTCGCCTTCACTTCCCCTTCCCGTCGCCTTCACTTCCCCTTCTCGTCTCCTTCATTTCCCCCTCCCGTCGCCTTCACTTCCCCTTCCCGTCGCCTTCACTTCCCCCTCCCGTCGCCTTCACTTCCCCTTCCCGTCGCCTTCACTTCCCCCTCTCGTCGCCTTCACTTCCCCCTCCCGTCGCCTTCACTTCCCCCTCCCGTCGCCTTCACTTCCCCTTCCCGTCGCCTTCACTTCCCCCACCCGTCGCCTTCACTTCCCCTTCCGGTCGCCTTCATTTCCCCCTCTCGTCGCCTTCACTTCCCCCTCCCGTCGCCTTCACTTCCCCCTCCCGTCGCCTTCACTTCCCCCTCCCGTCGCCTTCATTTCCCCCTCCCCGTCGCTTTCATTTCCCCCTCCCCGTCGCCTTCACTTCCCCCTCCCGTCGCTTTCACCTCCCCCATTTCCCCCCTTTACGCTCTCTTACCCCCTCTGCTCGCCCCTGTTTTCCCGGCTCACTCCTATACTCACTCTCTCCCTTCCTGCTCACTCTCTTCCCCCCTGCTCACTCTTTTCCCCCCTGCTCACTTTCTTTCCCCCTGTTCTCATCCCTCTTTCCCCCTTTCTCACCCATTTCCCCCCTGCTCGGTCTATTTCCCCCTGTGCTCGCCCCTAAAATCCCCTGCTCACTCCCTTACCCCTTGTTCACTCTCTCCCCCTCTGGTCACTCTCTTTCCCCTTGTACTCACCCCTCTTTCCACCCTGTTTTCTCTCTATTCCCCTTTGTTCAACCCTTTTTTCCCCCCAAGTCCTCTCATTTCCCCTCCTTAGCCCCATGCTTACTGGCTATCCCCTTTGCTCACCGCCTTCTCCACCCTGCTCTGCTCACTCTGTTCCCCGCTTCGCTCACTCCTCTGCCTAACTCCTCCCATACATGCCCTCCACCTTCACCCCTCGCTTATTCTGCCATATCCCCTCTTCCCTCCCCGTTCCATACAGAACCATGCGTGTACAGGTGCCAGCACCATGGGTCCCAACAGGAGTGGGTTAAAAGTTACCACCTCCTAGCTTTGTGCTTGTGCTTATAGTCTTGTCTTGGCAACATAAATGGAACATTATTTTGCTTTGTTGCACTTTTTTATAATGCTCCAAATCACGATGTGGTGTATTATGAGACGCATCCAACCAACTTCAATAACGGTACATGGCATAGCTATTGTAGACAACTAATATTATCAAACCCTATACTCATCACAACTGGATGCATGGCAGACCTGCACAGACACGAACCACTAACTCTGATGGAGGGTGGGGAACAAAGAATGCACGGAGGCAGAAAATGAGCAAGGGAGACACGGAGGAAGGGCGGAAGGGTGAGCGAGATGAAGCATGGGTAGGGGAGAGAGAGCACGGAAAGGCACTAAGGCAAAAGCGTGGGCGACGGTGAGAGGATGGGCGGATGAGATGATGGGCGGATGAGAGGATGGGCGGATGAGATGATGGGCGGATGAGATGATGGGCGGATGAGATGATGGGCGGATGAGAGGATGGGCGGATGAGATGATGGGCGGATGAGAGGAAAAAGTGCAGCTGGGTACAAGGGGGAAGGTAGAAGGGTGGAACGGAGGAGCAGGGTTGGCGTGAGGAAGGGAGTGGGAGAGTGGGAGATGGAAAGGGGAAGGGGGACTGGATCGAGGGAGGATGAGGAGAGGAAGAATGGCAGGAAAGAAGGATGGGTGGAAGGGAGGACGGGCAACAGAGAGGGTAAAGAGGGTAGGGAGGCAGAGAGATGGAGGAAGGGAGGACGGGCAACAGAGAGGGTAAAGAGGGTAGTGAGGCAGAGAGATGGAGGAAGGGAGGAAGGGAGAGGGAGAGGAGGACGACTGTGGGGGAACGATGGAACGGAGTAAGGGAGGAGGGCAGGAGGTAAAAGTGTGGTAGGGTATAAGGGTGGAACGGGGGATAGGAGGATCCCTGCACCCTCTCTCCCTAACCCCCGCCTCCCCTGCCCCGCCTCCCCCGCTCCCCTGACCCGCCCCCTGCAGCACTGCACTCCTTGCTGCCCGCCTGCACGCGCTGCCCTGGCTGTGCGCCAAACACTCTGCTCCAAAGCCGCTCCACCACCTGCCATGTGTGTGGGGTTGGTGCGAGAGAGGAGAGGAGGTCAGTGCAAGAGAGAGAAGGGTGGGTGCTGCTGACCACGCACCCTTCCACACCCCACAGCGAACGAGTCACGACCCCTTCCCCAACTCCCAGCCCAGCTCGCCATACCTCCCCGCCCAGGGTGGGTGAGAGGCTGATGGGGAGGGAGAATGAGAGAGAAGGAAATAAGGGTGCAAGGGTGGGGTGGTAACCATGGGCGATGGTAGGAGTAGAGAAGGTGGTAATGGGGAGAGCGTAAGCGACCTAGCGAGGCAATTTGGAAGGGATACAACGACGACCCTAAATGCGATGGGAAGGGATGAGAGGGTGGGCGGCATGGGTGGAGACGCGATGGTGAATAGGGGGAACGTGATGGGCAGGGGAGTGATGACGACGTGGAGAGAGGTGGGAGAGAAGGGAGGTCGGCGGGAAGTCTAACCGAGGGCGATGGGAGGGCAAGCGTGGGCGACAGTGGGGGTGGGCGACGGTGGCGGTGGGCGACGGTGGGGGGAAGCGTGGGCGACGGTGGGGGAAAGCGTGGGCGACGGTGGGGGGAAGCGTGGGCGACGGTGGGGGGAAGCGTGGGCGACGGTGGGGGGAAGCGTGGGCGACGGTGGGGGGAAGCGTGGGCGACGGTGGGGGGAAGCTTGGGCGACGGTGGGGGGAAGCTTGGGCGACGGTGGGGGGAAGCTTGGGCGACGGTGGGGGGAAGCGTGGGTGACGGTGGGGGGAAGCGTGGGTGACGGTGGGAGGAAGCGTGGGCGACGGTAGGAGGAACCGTGGGCGATGAGAGGGGAATCGTGAGGGAAGGTGGGGGAAGGCGTGAGCGACGGTGTGGGGAAGCGTGGGGGAAGGCAGGAGGAAGCGTGAGCGGAGGTAAGGGGAAGCGTGAGCGACGATGGGGGAAAGCGTGGGCGACGGTGAGGGGAAGCGTGGGCGTGTGCGTGGGGAGGTGTGTGAGAGACGGTGGGGAGAAGCGTGGGGGACGCGGAAGGCGATAGGTCCAAATGCGATGTTTGGGGATGGGCTAGGATTAAATGTGAAAATGCTCATGGCCTATGCTTTAGTGGCTTTTTATTCTATCTCTTCGCATGATCTAATCGCTTCGCGTACTATGGAAATCGCATGACCTGAATTACCAAAGGAGGCAACTGTGCACATTTTGAGCCCTTGTTCCTTCAGGTGGGTGTGGTTGGAACTCTCGCCAACCAAACCCGTTCTGCTCTACGAGACTCTGTTTTTTGGCGCTTTGTTTTCTGGTAACCAGCCTGGCTCGGGAGGTCAACTGTGGGTTCGGTAGGAAAACTGTGCACAGTTTGCCTTCCTTTTTTTGTAATTCTGGTCTTGGGCTTTAAGAGCGTTTGAACAGATCGAACAAATCTGATTGGTTCCCGCCAAAACTGAAATAAGGAACACAGCACGTCAGGCGTCGCATCTCTGTTTGGGGAGCCGCAGAGCAGAAGCACTGCGATCGTTTTGTCACGTCCTTTGTAAGGAAAATCCCTTTTCCTTACTTCGCATCCCTTCTCAACGCGTACATCACTGTTGACAAAATTAGAAGAAAGAAAGAGGAATGAACTAGCAGAAATGGGGATACAAATAGCAAACCCTAGAAGGGTTGTACTCGCTATAGAGCACCCCACTACAGGCTAGAACATAAGAATAATATTCTGACACACCCCCATAGCCAAAGTGGGGTGTAATCAGCAGAGCAGGCAAAGCAAAACAAGCTCAGGGTGGATCACAATGTCACCACACATTCTGAGCACAAGTTCAAGAAGAAATAGTTTAGAGTTCACAATTATAAGCAAAGCTAGTGGTAGTCACAACGGGCAAGTGAGGAGGAGGAGGGAGAGTGAGGGGAGAGGAGACAGGAGGCGACGGTTGAAGCTGCAGACACACGGGCAACAGGAGGCAGACTGGCACAGCGGCTACCGGACAGCGCCTGGACTACAGGAGTAACAGGCCCCGCGGCTCAAATAGCGGCGGACGGGCAACGGACCCACGGGCGGCTGGCACAGCTGGCTACGACTGGGCTACCGGGACAGCGCCCCGGACTACAGGTGCTGCGGACGACAAGCCGGCAGCCTCCGCTCAACCTCCCGCAAACAGTCCCACCCCCCTGATACACACCCACTGCTACACCGCTAGCTCTACTCCCACGCACCCCCCCTTAAACCCTAAACCCAGTCTCCCACACATCCACCCCCCTCAGCGACAGCTGCAGCAGTGGGAGACGAAGGAGGAGGAGGAGCAAAGGGAGGAAGGAAGACCGGCCACCCCCATACCCGCCACCCCACAGCGGCCCCCTCAGGTCGCCTCGATGGACGACGGGAAATGGCAGGGGGAGGGGGGGGGGGGGGGGGGGGGGGGGGGGGGGGGGGGGGGCGGGGTGGTGAAAGGGACCCACCACGGGCCTGGTTGGAGGGCGGGGCCGCGAAAAGGGGCGGGGCCGCGACGAGGGGCGGGGCCGCTTCGAGGGGCGGGGCCGCGACACAGGGCGGGGCCGCGACGTAGGGCAGGGCCGCGACGGTCGGGCGGGGCCGCGACGTAGGGCGGGGCCGTGACGGTCGGGGCGGGGCCGCGACGTAGGGCGGGGCCGCGACTGTAGGGCGGGGCCGCGACGGTCGGGGCGGGGCCGCGACGGTCGGGGCGGGGCCGCGACGTAGGGCAGGGCCGCTTCGAGGGGCGGGGCCGCGACGCAGGGCGGGGCCGCGACGGTAGGGCAGACGCCCGCCGCGCGCCTCGGGGCGCACAGCGGGCAAAGAACCGCCGCGCGCCCCGGGGCGCACGGCGGGCAGAAAACCGCCGCGCGCCTCGGGGCGCACGGCGGGAAGGAAAACCGCCGCGCGCCTCGGGGCGCACGGCGGGAAGGAAGCGAGGTGGAAACCCACCCACAGGATCGATCCAAGGGGATCGACCTGCTCTGATAGCATGACAAAGTTTGAAGAAAGAAAGAGGAATGAACTAGCAGAAATGGGGATACAAATAGCAAACCCTAGAAGGGTTGTACTCGCAATAGAGCACCCCACTACAGGCTAGAACATAAGAATAATATTCTGACAACTGTAGCACCTCAGTCAGCACCGTTACCACTCGCGATCATCGCATCGACAATCATCCCGCCATTTTTCGCACATCGCAACCCGACCTCACGGCTCGGCTGGTAACCCGCGCTCCGGGCCTACGCCTCGACACTTTCCCAACCTCAGTCCCAGGCTCGTCGCGCGACTACCACAGACCATTACCGTTACCACTGTAGTTTTGCTATATATTCTTCGCTCACGCCCTCGCTCATTGTATTCTTGCTTCGATAGTGCAATTCTCGTTCGTTCACTCAATTGCACTCGTAACACTTGGTTATCAGAGCCTACGATCTCAGCTCGAACCGCATCCACACCTTCGCTTCCCCACTATCTCAATTTTTTGGGGGGGGTAGACGTCTCTCAGCGATACACCACCGCCGCTCGTAGTGCTCTCTCGCAAGCACGCACGGCCACGACCGAGGCTCTCGCTGAGCTTGCCTGACACCCCCGCCATGGCCGATTTCACGCTCGCCACATTAACGCAGGAGCAACTTGATCGTCTCGTGCGTCAGCTGGAAGATTCAGCGCTCGAAATCGCGACACTCACGGCGGAACGTGACTCCGCCCGTCAACAGTCCACGGTGAACGTTCCGACGACATCACACACACCAACAAATGTATCGGCACATTCGGATGAACCGATCGTCATCTCGTCCGGCACACCAACACAACACGACAGCATGGGACAACGCTCAGGCACAACCAGTTGTGGCGCCGCCCAGCCGATGCCTGGCATGGGAGGAAACAGGATCGCACCAAGCCCGCGGGAGCCCCGAGAAGCCCGTCGGCACGTGGAATTTGCGGCGACAAGTGGCGAACAAGCCATCATGGCACCAATGCCGCTCAAGCCGCAACGCACGCCCTGCTTCGACCCAAGCCAACGCGGCGGTCCGACGGTTCAATCGTGGGTCTTCACGATGAACGTCTTCTTCGACGCAAATTACGTCGAGTCGGACGTCGCGAAGATCCGGTATGCAGTTTCGCTGCTAAGGGGCCCCGCCATGGACTGGTGGCGAGTCATCGTGATGTCGCCACGTGCCTACGAGCCACCGTCGCACGAGGAAGGGCCCACGGGTCCAGCTGTCACCTGGAGTTCGTTCTGTGAGACCGCCCAATACAGCACGTGGGATGCGTGGTGCGCAGGGCTTCGGGCGCGTTTTGAGCCGATCGCGGCTTCAATTTCGGCGCGTCAGAGATTGCGCACTTGGCGCCAGCTCGGGTCAGTTCAAGATTATAAAAGCGATTTTCTCGCACTTTGCGAGCAGGTCGGCTACATGCACGAAGCGGAGCGGGTGGACCGTTATGTCGGAGGGCTGAAGCCGGATATCTCGCACGAAATAATGCTGCGCGGACTCTCTAATTTTAACGAGATTCTCGCGCTCGCCGAGAAGATCGACATTCTACGCCGACCGAGACCGGGGTCCTATTACGGACATCGCCCTCGGGGACCGACCGAGCACGCCACTGTACACGCCGTTGCAACAAATGCAGCTGCCCCACCGTTTAAAGGGCGCTGCTTTTCTTGCAACCGGCCGGGCCATCGCGAGAGCGAATGCCCAGAGGAGCTGAGGCGCCGAGGAGTAGAGTAGGGGAGGGAGTCTTAGAGGCAGGGAAACGCCAGCAGTCAGTAGAAGTTGGGCCAACTACTGACGAGACTGCCTGCTCGCCCAACCACACCGACCCTCACCGAGTCACAGTACCGATTCACGCCATCGATCGGGCTCGGATGAATAAGGAGGGTACAGCGACGGATTGCCCGGTACTGATCTACGGGAAAATACATGGAGCAGCAGTGAAGATTTTTATTGACGGGGGAGCAAGTCACAGCTTAGTTAATACCGCAACCGCACGAAAATTATAGTTAACACTTAACCGATGCTTACCTGAGATAGATGCACGCTTAGTCGACGGAACGCCACTAGCCATACGGGAAAAGGTGGAGCGAGTAAAAGTCCGCTGCGGAGGAAACTTCGGGTTTACACAGGAAATGCTCGCAACGACACTGGATGGGCACGACATTTTACTGGGACGTGATTGGCTGCGACGGTATAACCCGCGAATTGACTGGACGACGGGTAGCTGCACAGTGCGAAATAGTGGTAACTGGGTCGTCCTACCTCGCTGGCAGCCACCCGAGTCTTCGACGGTCCAGGTCAACGCCATCACGATGAAACGGGCTGTCGCTGCTAGAGCTGACGTGTACGCAGTGGGCATAGCATTAGTGCAAGAAGAGGAGCTGCCGAGCGATTTTCAGAAACTATTGGCAGCTGCACCACCCGAACTTCAGGCACTCCTGAAACGATTCCCGGGTATCTTTCCGGATGACTTACCACAAGGGCTGCCACCTCAGCGGGCGCATGACCATAGGATCGAGTTAGAACCGGGGGCACAGCCGCATGTACAGCGCCAGTTCAGAGTGACACAGCCCGAGCTCGACGAACTAAGGAAGCAGTTAGATTATCTGTTAGAGAAGCAGTTTATCCGAACGAGCTCCTCACCGTTCGCCGCACCGATACTGTTCACACCGAAAAAAGACGGAGGGTTTCGCATGTGCATCGACTACCGAGCGCTTAACAGGGTAACAGTCAAATCACGGTACCCCATCCCCCGCGCCGACGAACTGATCGACCAGTTACGAACCGCACGGGTATTTTCGAAAATAGACTTACGAGGAGGTTACCATCAGATTCGGGTCGAACCATCGGACTGCGCCAAGACAGCATTTAGAACTAGGTACGGGTCATTCGAGTATACGGTGATGCCTTTCGGGCTGACCAACGCGCCCGCCACATTTCAAATGACCATGAACGAGGCGTTTAGGCCACTTTTAGATAAATGCGTGATAGTTTACCTTGACGACATTCTCGTTTACAGTCGGGACAAGCAGCAGCACTTAGTCGATCTCGAAGCAGTTTTTAAAATCTTAGCGGAACATCGGTTACTCACCAAGGGCTCCAAGTGCGAGTT